CACTCCGGAGCCCCGGCCCGCGCGGCCACACCCGGCCCAGCACGGGCGCACACGCACACCCAGAAGCCACCCTCTCGATCTCGGAAACCACCGGCTCTGTGGCCCCAACGCCTGTGCTGCTTCACACACACACACACACACACACACACACACACACACACACACACACACAAGAAACACGTCCACATGCACTATGAGGCCCTCACAGCGCTGCACACCTTACCCACTGTACGGACCCAAAACACACATCCACACACAGGACACTCTCCCACCCCCCACAACACTCTCCCCCTGCCCACAAGCCCCACAGAAACACACTATTCCCATCCCACACACATTGTGTGTGGACACCCTTCTGTGTCCCACACATATACAATTCACATATCCTATAGAGACCCACTTGCAAGCATATGCATTAGGCCCTGAACGTACACCACTCCAGACATACCCTGCAGAGACACCCACAACCCCCGCTGGCAGACAACACCCTGCACAGGTCACACACTCCAGGCACTGTGCCACACCCCCACGAGTCTCACAGGCATAGAGAGAACACCCCAGAGTGCTAGCCACACACACAAAGGCTGCAGAGCAGTCCCACCACTCCCTGGGGAAGTGTGACCGCCCTCCTACCCAGGTCATCCTGCCCATTAGCTTGCTCCCCACCCCCAACGCTGGGCCCCTCCCGCTGCCGTACAGAATCAGACAGGAGACCCTGCTCGCCTCCACTTCACCCGTGTGGCTGGCAAAGGCCCTGGCTAGCAGGTGTGTGGCTGCCAGCTCCATTTCTAGCCCCCTTGGCTTTTCAGGAATGACATGCTTGTCACGACAGCCGCTCACTGTGGCCAGGGGTCATGACTAAGGCCCGACTGGTAGAGAAGGAAACAGGCCAGAGAGCACCTGGCTTGTTATGGCACCAGGATTCCAGCCCAAGCCCTTGTTCCAACTTCAGATCTTGCCCCCACACCCCAGCTAGTGAACGGGAGGGGCGGCAACTCCAGGCCAACTCTGATCCAGGAGGCCGCCAGGAGGAAGCAGCAGAAGGGAGACCCAGGCAGAAAAGGCAGCTCCCCGTCCCTCCCACCCCATGGTCCACTGTCCCCAGCCAGGACCTGCCAGGAGGGTGGCCCATTTGAGAGGCCACTGATACAGAAAGGGGAGGGGAGGTGGAAGGGCAGAGAGGGGAGGAGCCTGGGATAGGAGGGGAAGGGGACAGAGGGACAAGTGTGGGACCCTGGAGGGGCATGGGGGTGAGGAGACAGGCTGGGGGGCAGGATGAAAGGAGAAAGAAGGAGCCTGAGAGGAAGGGTGAGGTGAGGCGTGTGGGCGGCCATGTCAGCCGGGAGTGGTTTTGTTCTCCTGTTTCCTGTTTGCCGTTTCTGGGCCCCCCTGTGCTGGAGCTGGACCCCCACCCCCACCCTGGCGGAAGCTGGACGGGAAGAGTGAGGCTGCTGGAGCTGAGTCAGGAGGCTTGGGGGAGAGCAGGACACAGCATGGCCACGGGCACCTTCCCTGCCCTCGGTCGCCAGAAACCAAGGACT